AATGGGTGAACCAGTGCCATAAAATTCCTCACAAGACAATATGTTGGAAATGGCATTTACAACAGGGGCAGCAGGAGTTTTGAAGCAGAATAAAGTGTAAGAAAAATGGGGGATAAGGTAACATGTAACAAGAAAACTATTCACTGTGTCACATACATACTTATAATAACTCTGTACATAACACTGACCGTTAGTTTAATGAAAAAGAAGAGTATTGATACATACATTTATTTTAATTTTCATAAGTTTACACACGGATTTGTATGTAGATTGGTTTTCAGTCTATACACAGACATGTGTTGATAAATCTGTTCTCTTCATATCCCTACTGGAAAAGGCTCAGGTTTCCCTGAGTCTAAAAGTTCCAAGCTATCCTTCACAAATTAATGATGAATTCATTCCTGCTCACAATTTCTGAAAGAAAACTAAGAAATATTTGCAAATATACACTAGGTGCAGAAAAAAGCCCATAATCAAAAAGTCTCCCATTTCAACACCAATAATAAATATGAGCCACATTTTCACCTCTTTAAATTCCTCATCTGTATGCAAAAGATTCAACTCTATTCATAGCATAGGAGTCCTACCAACCATTTTCACAAAGTGGATCTTCCTAAAATATGCTTCAAAAATTATTCCCTTTTGCATCAGGAATGTTTTGGGCTACAGTGCCAAATCAACTATAAATATGTGGGGGCATATATATGTGGGGCAAATTACACACAAATTGAATATGAAGATAGTCATTGAAGATGGTTCCAAAAAAGTGCTTTTGATACTCTACAGATAACAGTCCACTCTTTCTTGGAACATTTTAGAATCCTCTTGCCCTAAAAATATAGCATTTTTAGCACACAATCATGCTATCCTCACAAATTGCAATTTGCCCCCTCAACAGAATAAGATTTTCATGTTATTTTGTGTATACATACATTATCCTGGTTTTTTCTGCCACATGTTTGGGAAAGAACTCCTAGAATCTTGTTTAGATGAGATTGTACATGGAAATCATTGAGATGCATGAGAAGCTTGTATAGTAAGAAATATACTTCAGAATTTGGTTGAAAAATCCCTGTGAAATTTTAATGGCTTTTCTATATGGGAATATATAATTGGTGTAAGATTTGTATAAGAGGTCTAATATCATTACAGTTTTGTTATGTATTTATTGGGCTCTGCAATTATATCAATATATGAAATGGAAGATGATATTCACAGGCAAACTGAAGGAGAATAAATAATGAAGTATGATTTGTTCTCTATTGGGAAACAAATGTACATTATTGAATTGAATATTGAAGTTTCTATATTCCAACCTTGCCACGTCTATGTGGATAGTGACATGGTGATTTCCAATGAGGACATAAACACCCGGCTTTGCTTCTGAATTCAAGGTAAATGTGAATAGGGTTTGAAAAGGTAGTAGAAATTAAAACGAATTCACTTGGTTGAGTGAGCATCAACAATATATTAATGAATGTAAGATGTAGATGAAACAATGAGAAATAATTTGATCTCATGGCTTGTTCATAGAATGATTCCTGCAAAGAAATAGAAAAAATATTATTTTACTTTCTATGGAAAACACTAGAATATTTATTTCTGTATTCTGCATATGAACAAGAACTAAACTAGCAGTTTGACAGATATTCAAAAACTAATGAGAGCATATCATCAGTTATTTCCAAAAAATTTCATGCTTACTTCCACTTCTCTTCCCATTTATATTTGATCATTGTATACAAACCTAACAAATAATGACACTTGGACACTCTCTGCCTCAACACATTCAAACTTCATTGAACATTTGAAGTGTGAACCTACTCAATCTATTAATTCAGCGATTATTTTACAATTCTTCAAAATTTACTCTAATATCACCCATTCAGGCTCAGCCAGGCCTTGACACAGTTTCTGACTAGTTCCTTTGCAATATATTCATGGATGTATCATGCATCCAGGAAAATAGGAAGAAATACTTCACGTGGTTGTACAGAAAAGAAAATCCAGAGTGGTTTTACTATATAATGTTATTGCAATGAACTTAAGCCAACACTCCATTTCAATATTTTTGAATGGATGCATAAAAAGAAATCACAAGGAGTGATTGTTTTATGAGATATATCCTACCAATGGATACATGCTTTTTGGACGCAAGTAAAATATGAAGGGATCCCATGCAAATACCTTCAGTACAATTACAAGAAATATTCCATGGTTCAAACATATAAACGACTTTTCCATTTTTATTTGTGTACAAAACAATTTCTATTGTGAAGTCATAAGTACATTGTGATGTTATATCAGCTAAATATATTCAGCAGTTCAGAAAAATAGTTAACCTTTAAGACACATATGCATGTCACCTCTCAGTAATATTGGACTCTCAGAAAAATGGACTTTGAAATGAACATAGAAAATTTCCATTAACTTAGGGTAACATTCCGACATTAACACTGCTTTCTCAAATATGTATGGTTATGAGAATTATATGCCAGAGACATACTAACAGTTGGAAAATATCACTTGGATCAAGCACAGGGTAAGAAGCTTGAATATCAATGGACCAAGCAAAGATTCAATACTCATTGACAAAAAAGACCCATGAAAAAATCCATGATAACTTGTAATTAAGTAAAATCAAAAACTGAAGGCAGAAAAAATACCCTCACTTTTCAATTCCAAGAAAACAAAATAATGTGTGCAGCATCTACTTATGGGTATTGAAAGAGAGTAGGAAAAAATGTACACCATTTCAGTTTGTACACACACATCACACAATTTCCACCCATAAATGGACAGGTAACAGACATATCTGATCACAAACACAGCACACACACACACACACACACACACAAACACCTACACACACACATATATATAATAACAAAGCTAGAGTTGGATAAATCTTGAAGAGATACATCAACAAGTAGCATGGTGTTCTACACTCACAGATTCTAGAATTTACAGGTTCTTTAGTATTATCTACATTTTAGATGCTAGAAAAATTATGATTCCATAAGCAAGACATATTAGCATAAAGGAACAGAATTAGTAATCCCAGTAGAACATTTTAAGTGTTCTACGAACCAATGAAGTAAGTAAATACCACTGTCTCATCAAACATTACTCTCTGAAATTCAGAGGGTAAATAAATGATATTATACATAGGGAATGAATAAAATCTAACTTGCTCCAAAGGAAAAAATTCAGAGTTTTTGGAAATACCAGTGAGTATGGGGCATTGTTGATGAATATGGCATTACATTCCTATCTTTGGTTAATGTTCTTGCTAGTCATTGGGCTTGAACTTTAGGCTTGGGCAAGGTCCCTGAGCTCCTTAGAGCTCTACTGTTCTACCACTTGAGCTACAGAGACACTTCCAGTTTTGAGGTGGTAAATTGGTGATGAGAGTGTGACAAATATTCCTGAGATCTGATCCTCAGATCTCAGCCTACTACAGGTCCCTAAGCAACCTGTACCAGGCTGTTTTTCTCTGTTATCCAGAGTGTGCTGATGATTTTTGAGCTTGTCTGTTCCCAACATTTATGCACACTAATTGTCTACGAGTAACCATAGTTTTCCTTAAGTAGAATACATTCTATAGTATGCAATTTTGAGGGGATTAATTGCCAGCAATGAATCTGCAAAATATCTTTCATTAATCTATAGTTATATCCTTACGGGTCAAACATGTGAGATGCTAGAATTAACATTATCACCTGGCCTGCCTCAAGAATGGTTTGCTACCCCAAAAATTGTTTTCCACGACATTTTCATTTTCCTCTGCGTGACAGAGGATGAGAAACTCCTTAACCCCAAGAATAAATGTATTGGGTTGATCAAATACTAATTGATCTGTTCAGTTTGTAAACAGGATTTTTAGTCTCTGCTATAATCTTTATGAATTAGCAAATTGTCATCAGATGCAAGGGTGAATTTATCTATTACTATTATTCCTACTCAGCACTTTTTTCACTATATAAATTGCCAATGCATCCTTCACCTAATATTGTAATATGTTTGACATACAACAGATATTTGAATACAAATAATTAGTATTCTTACTACCATTTCACAGGAAGAATATATGAGGCCTGACTGTGAGGACAGGCTCACATAAATTCACCTTGGTCTTATGTTGAATAAGCTTTTCGGGCAGAGGTCCAATCATGGGGCCTGAATTCTGGGCCTGGACGATGTCCCTCAACTCTTCCGCCTAAGGCTAGCACTCTACCACTTGAGCCACAGCACCACTTCTTGCTTTTTTCCCTTTTGCTTATGTGGTGCTGGGGAATCAAACCAGGCCTCATGCATGCAAGGCAAGCTCTCTACCACTGAGCCACTTTCCCAGACATTTTTTTTTTCTAGACTGCTCAGAGATGAAAATTCTTAACATTATCAATACATCTAGAATATATTGTCTCACAAAAAGGAAGAGGTCTCATATTGGCAAGCAAGACAAATGACATTATTCCAAATTAAATAAATGCTTATGAAGAATTCCAAGAAAACCCAATTACTGTTCACTTTTTCCTCTATTTGCCATCTTACCATGTCAGAGAGACTTGATGTGTTCAAATTCCATAAAATCAAGGATATAACCTATTTTGTGACTCTAGAAGGACAAGTTCATTCTAGTAATTAAAATTCTTTAAGCAATCGCGTAAATACTCACTCAGATAGCATAACTTTTGTAGTTACACCTCTAATTTTGAATTTCCAATCTATACCATATCTAATGTGTATTTATACTTTAAACAGCAATGTGAAATTTGAAATCCATGTATGTATTGCTGTAAAAAATAGCTCTAAATACAATTTATTAATATGAATATTTGTAAAGTGAAAATTGTAAATCATCTCAAGAATCCCTCAAATATCTTATACTAATTTATGGAGAAAATTTAAATCAAATAGCCATTCCTATAATGTTCATTAATAAATTTCAGAAGGAAGACATAGTAACCCACCCATAAGTCTGTAATTTTATCAATTACCAATTGAAGATACTGCCATTTACACTATCATAATTAATGTGATGAGTGAATCCTGAAAACATGAAAATGGTTATAAAAAGATTGGCCCAACATAATACTGCTATCTATGGCTTCCCTGATTTAAAATTATTATAAGAGAATGAGAAGAATATTCAGATAAGGTAATCTGATTTGAAGTATTTGGGTGATTGCATTTGTATCAGTCCTAGTGAAACTGTATTTGATTTTGCCACCTATCACAGGTTCACCAGTTCAGAGAGCAATCCAAAACTTCCTTTGTAGTGAGAAAAATATATGGTTTTATAGAAGAGCTAGTTTTTTATTCATTTATCCTATTTCTTTACTTTGAATTTTAAAAGACAATAGTACATCAGAAGAAAACCATTTTCTTTACCTGTTGTTGCCAGATGATTTGATTGTGCCCCAAACAAAACTTGGGCTAGGATCTTCCAAGGATTCTGCGAAAGGGAGAATTACATACTTGACTGAGGTGCTAGAATAGATTGGCTCTAACATTATACATTGATAAAGAAGAACAACAAGGTTGTTGTCCCTAAGAGACTCCCAAGAAACTTTTAGCTGGATAATAAAGATTGAAATGTATGAATTCTTACCCATGTGCAACAACATATCATTTAAATGTTTGACATGGTTTTTAATCAGTTAAGACTGCATATTTTCATATATGTTATTGATATTAGCATACAAGACAATCAAAATTGAACAAAGAATTTTTAATTTCACTACTAAGGGAAGAAATGATACAACAGTACAAAGTAAGTTGAGAGTAAATAATGAAAAATGCAGGAAGTTCAACAAGCTTTTTACCTTTATCCCAGTCTTCCTCAGAGGACACACATTTCCATGTACTTTCAGAACTCTTGGATTGTTTCTCATTCCATATGATGTTATCTACAAACAAAGAGAAATCTAGCATCACAATAGGATGCAGGTGTAAAGGGCCTACACTGATTTGGATTGTATTTTAATTATCAAGCTTACCTACATCATCTTCAAGGGAAGTTTTGTCCATACAAGTTGCAATATGTTCAGTGAGTTGATCTCGTGGAACCAGGTGACGAGCATTAAAGGGACAAGTAGCCAATTTGGCAGCAATGTCAGGATGATTCTGTATAACAAAAGTTCAAATATGAAGAAACATTTTCAAATTTTCACTTTTCAGATTACTTTGTTCAGGATATCTACCATAGGCTTGACACCATGGTATAGGTACTGTGCTAGTACATTCTTTTTTTAATACATATTTTTTATTGTAAAGATACTGTACAGAGGGATTACAGCTATATGAGTAATGTAATGAGTACATTTCCTATGGAGCATTGTTACTCCCTCCTCTTTTTTTCCCCTAAGATCTCTTTCCTCCTCATCTCCTCAACTCCTCTCCTCTACCCCTCACCCACACAGCTCAAGTTGTAAAGTTCATTTTCAACATAGTGGCTTGTATATTTCATTGTTACAATGGGTCAACCTGTATCCCAAACAGTATGGAGTTTCATCAAATGACTCCACATTGAGCTTCTCTATGATCAAACAATCCCTCTTTTGCTCATTTACCCAAATGAATACAAGACCATACTAAAAATACCACCATTATATGGAACCAACCCAGAAGCCCCCCAGTAGATGAGTAGATTAAGTAAATATGGTAAATACATGCAAAATGGAATTCTATGACTCTATCAGAAAGAATGATATTGCTCAATTTGTTGGAAATGAAAAGACTCAGAAAATTTACATTAATTGAAGTAAGCCAGGCTCAAAGAAACATAGGTCCATTGTTTCCCTTATTTGGAAAAAACTAGTGTACATTTAGGATAAGCAGAAATGTTCAAAAGTGATGTACAGAGGCTTATAAAAAATGAACTCTGCAATTAAAGAGAGGGTTAAGGCAGGGGTAGAGTATAGTTGAGAGGTTGGATTGAAGGCATGGTAGGGGAAAACTAAAGGAGGAAGCAAAAGTGTTTGATGCCTCCATCAAAAAGAAGTACATTGCGCCATTTGTTAGGAAATGGAAAGACTTGGAAAAAATATTAAGTGAAGTAATCCAGGCCCAAATAAACTTAGGCCCCATAGTTTCCTCAATTTGCAATAATTAGTATATATCTGCGATAAGCAGCAAAAATCAGATAAGATGGTGTTAAGTGAAATGGACCCAAGGTTAGGGACAGAGGTTTTTAATTTCCCTCCTTGGTATTGTTTCTAACCTATTTAAAAGAGACCATGTGCTATTTTTTGTTGTTTTTTTTGTCCCTCCCCCATGTTATAATCCCTGTGTTCACTGTATTGAATGTTGGTTTAATTGCAGTAGGGTTAGAAAAATAACAAAATGTTTATATAACTTGACCCATTGCCACAATCAGATGTACAGGACGTTATTTTGAAATGCAAACTTTACAATTTTGGCAGAGGTGGAGATGGGACTGAGAGGATGTAGTTGACGAGTTGGGAGGGAGAGGATAGTAGCAGAAAAATAAAGGAGGAGGAAACAATTTTGGATAAGAAATGCACTCATTAATTGTAACCCCTATGTACAGTATTTTCACAGAAAAAATTTATTTAAAATATGCTATGTCAAAAATAAACTTTATCATTTAAGCAGGGTGGGAGGGGGGTAAATTTATTTCTGGAGATGGGGGAAGGGATGGCAGTGGAAACTCAACGGAGGAGGCAACAATGTTTGATAAGAAAAATACTCATTATATTCCTCCTGTAACTGTAACCACTCTGTAAAGTATTTTCACAATAAAAACTTACTTAAAAAAAGATGATAAATCAAATAAGATAGGTATACAAGTGGTTTTTTTTCCCCTCTTGGTATTGTTTTTAACATATTTTTAATGAACTATTTGATTTTTTTCCCTTTGGTGTGTTCCTCCCCATGGTAGAACACCTGTTTTCACTGTATTTGATTCTAGTGCACTGCTTTGTGTATATATTGATCTAATTTGGGGAGAGGAAGGCAAAAAAATAACTAGTGCATCCGTTTGCAAAGGGCTAGACTTCTACAATGTTCATAGAACTTCTTCTATTCTCATTTGATAGGGGAGATAAGAAGGTTTATGACTCTCCTGCATGGGCTGGCATTAAAAAAATGATACAGTGATATCAAACTCTCAGGTTGATATTATATCTTTAATGAGGAAATAGGGCCAAGACACCCATAAATTCTATATGGAAATTTAGAAATGCACATAAGTGTTCAATTTTGTCCTATGTTTACTAAAATATGGGTTATTTATATAAAATTTACAAATGCATAGGGTGATTGAAAACATATTTGAAAATATCCAAAATGGAGGGTCATCACATGTGTATTCTTTACAAATGTAATTTTCTACCCACAGTTCAGTGAACCTTCAAATATTGTGTTATTTTTGATGAAAATAAGAGCAAGTTTGTAATAAATAACTTCAATATAGAAAATAGACACAATGCATCTCCCATTTTATGTTTATAAACATGGCATGAAAAGTCAAGTACTCAAACTGAATTCTAGACCATAAAATACAGCGGTTGTTTTAAGAAAATAATTTAAGAATAACTTAATTTACATTTTGTACATTAGGCAATGGGGAGGAAAACGAAACCACCTCTAATATTTGTGAGGTATGTAAAGTTCTCTGTATGTTATTTTCACAATAAAAAGACAGAAAAAAAGAAATATGGCGCACAGAGTTAGAGATATTTACCAACACAAAACATTTTGCCTTTGTTCTGCTTTGAATAGAGATCTAGAAATATGTCTCTAGAAATAAATTGGATTAGGATTGTCTTACTTTCCATTACATGCTGCAGAGATTTCAGAAGAAATACAAAAATCTCACTATGGTATTTATGCCTACATTCTCTCACATTTTCACATATATTTCCTACAATTTATTATAAAAACAATACTCCAATTTATCCATGAACTAAAGAAATTATGTAATATCAACATGTTCCAGTGAAACATTACCTCTTTGCATTTCACAAGATGGTATGGGAACCTGCATGATCTGATTTTGTGATTTTTATCATAGGGACACTGCAACAACCTCTCAGGATCCACAGATTCCTCTGAAAGAGAGCAAATACTTTGGGAAAATCAATATATTGGGGAACATACAAGTCTTCAATGTTGCTTCCATTATTAACTATACCTTAACTCAGGAATCCTAATTTGGGGCATATAGATTTAAAATATGACAAAGAGTATTACTCTGGAATTTAACTTCTGATGTATTCTCAGTTCCTATTAATTAGTTCTTAATTTTTATTATGAAAAGTATTTATTCTAGTTGAAAAAATATTAATTTGAGGCAAATGGAGCTCTTAGCATGTTTTATCTTCTGAAAGCAAACATCCATTGAGCGCCCTTGATTTAATTACTTTCTTACATTTCAATCTAGAATGTGCCCATAATTTATATTCTCTTTCACCTTTCAATCTAGAACATCAAAAGTCAAAGTTATAATTATCAAAATGTCTAAAGTTTCAGATTCATATCATGACGAATCCTACTATCCTATTCTCTCAGTTCCTGTCAATATACTTTCTGTGATTCCAAACAAGAAAAAAAAATAGCATGAACTAGACCATTTAAAATAATTTTCCAAAACAAATGCTTAAACATGTTTACCTTTTTCCATTGTGACAGACAGATATATATAAGCAATTCCTGCGGATAAAAAAAAAAATTCTCTGAGAGAAAACAAGACTAAATACTCCAAAACCACATGTCTTAAATGTTGTGATTTTGCCGTTGATATGAAAAACAACTGGGTAGAACCTATTCATCTCTAATACTTTTTTTTGCTAGACACACTTGTATTGAAGTATATTGATAACTGTTTACTTCACAAATTATGGTCACTTATAATAAGCTATAGAAATGTATAACCTTTGAACTCAAAATTAATTTCATATTTTTCATACATTTTTCTTCAACATACAAAAACAGAGGATAATGCATCATGACAACTTTTACGCGAATGGGGAAAAGGTTTTCTAAGTTATTGGTGTTTGAATTAACAAATTCCAAATTCCATTTTACAACCATCTAATACCTATTGAAAATAGGCACTTGTCTGAAGGAGGATTTTCCTTTTTCATAGATATATCATGATTCCTATTCAGATTATAAGATCAGTATGGAGTATTATTCAGGTAACTGATTCTTAGAGAATGTATGCATCACAAAGCAAAGGAATAATTGAGACTAGTAAGAGTCAAAGTTTGAGATGGGTGCTGTCATTCAATAGGTAGTAAATTTTAGTAGTACAGTGTCTAGTGGCCATGAAGCAGAGCCAGAAGACATTACACTATGACTAACTCACATAAAAGTGACAGTAATAAAAGTAAATTTTAAATACCCCAAAATGGAAACATGTGTTTTCTTAAGTCTAAGGAAGTAAAGAATTTTCATTATTTTACCAATGAAATAATACTGCCTAGTTGGAGAAAACTATAAGAACTACATTTGGGATGTCTGCGAGAAATGTATCAGTCACATACAAAAAGATGATTTACATGTCTATGTCGTAGAAGTCGGAAAAGAAATCTAGGGACTGTTACCTGTCTCCTTCAGTTAACTGGATTCACCAAACCAGTCAGGATGTCCTCCTCCCCAGGTCAGACGATGTCCCACTAGTAGGTTTTCCACAGCAACAGCTACTTCTCTATAATGACTTCTCTACATGGGGCCAACGCTATTGTGATGTAGTTCCTCAATTTCACTTCCGTTTTACCAACTGATGGAATTCAGCCATACTTCCGCATATGACAACGCAAGTGCTGACTTCCGGCTTGAACCCGGAAGACAATGTCCCATTTCTTTTTGGTATGAATTGTTGTACTCCAATTCAGTATAATAGAAATGTGTGAGTATTCAGTAGAGCACTAATGTGAACGGATATGTCGCAATTTTTATCTACACACCAACTACTGGTTCTGTATAAATTGTCCTGCCCACACATCTGTAAACTTACTATGGCTTATATAGCCACAATAAGTCATTCTTTATGTATTATTCTTTCCTTGTATAGTTTTTTTACAAATCAATATTTTTATTAGGAGATAGTTTCACAAAAAGACTCTTAGAGAAATTAATCACCTTCTGCCAAAAACGTTCCTTAGCCTTCCTTGTAGATAACATGGATCTTTGTACACATTTCTTTTAGTTCACGTTTTTGGTTAAAATTAATTCAAAGTAACACTGATGTTTTCTTGGATTTCACAAAGCAAATAGTCACAAATATTAAATGAAAACAGCAAGAGAAAAACAAGTTCCCAGATGAATTTCTTCATTTATATACCATATATTTACTTACAAAAATATTAATGTTACTAAATACTATACAATAAACTATAAAAGCTATACAAAAATCCTTGTGAATGTATGGCTTTAGGAATGCCTTTGCATTATTTAATCACCAATAACATAAACTACATGCAAATTTCCTGCACTATAACTTTCAATTACAGAATTTGCAACTCAAGAATCTATTGACAGGTTTATGTAGAAAAACATAAATTCATTTAGATTTTAATAAAATAGGAAGTTATTATGCCAGGTTTTGGAAAGGTGTATTGAAGCGTTTCGGATATATAAAAGGTGGTACAACATATAGGTCACATATTATGTAGATTTTTTATCATCAATTTTCATAAACACCAAGTCATTTTATTTAAAAATATGCCAAAGAGTTTTTGTTATACCCTAAGGAAACTTTGAGCATTTTGTATATCGTACTGGCAAGGATCTTCATTAACAAGTAGACAATTGGTGCCAGGGGCTTACAACTCTAATCCTTGATTTGTATTGCAGTCCATAATGCAGGAAAACCCAGTGATTCAACTCCAATTGCTTAGAAAACCCAAGAGTGCACTATCCTAAAATAAGTATGTATAGGAACAAACTAGCGTAAATTAAACTATTTGATGATATAATAATGAGGCCAGGATGTTTTTGGTCTATAAATTTGTCTGTTTTGAATAGCTGTTTTTTTTTTTCTTTTGGGTCCGGTCGTGAGGCCTGAACTCTGGGTCTGGGCGGTGTCCCTCAGCTCTTCAGCTCAAGGCTAGCGCTCTACCACTTGAGCCACAGCGCCACTTCCGGCTTTATTCTTTTTGCTTATGTGGTGCTGAGGAATCGAACCCAGGGCCTCGAGCATGCAATGCAAGCGCTCTACCACTGAGCCACCTTCCCAGCCCCTTGAATAGCTGTTTAATGATTCTGAGGAACTGAAACATTTCAGTATTTCTATCGGTAGAAAAAATATAAAAAATGGTTTAAGATAATTGAAACAAGGACAGACACTGGTGGCTCATGCCTGTAATCCTAGCTATTCAGGAGGCTGAGATCTGAGGATGACGGTTCAAGGCAAACCTGGGCAGGAAAGTCCGTGAGAAACTTATCTCCAATAAAGCATTAGAAAACTAGACGTGGTACAGTGGTTCCAGTGGTAGAGTGCTTGCCTTGAGCTGAGGAGCTCAAGGACAGCGCCCAAGGAAATACTTCAAGCCCCATGACCGACCAAAAAAAAAAAAAAAAAGATAATTGAAACTAACCAACATGGGAGAGAAAAATAAAAGACCATGATTTGTCATTAAATGGAGGATCTGGAAACATCTCTAATTAAAATAAAAAGCATGGACAGCTTGGTACAGATAAAGAAAGGAAAGTGTGGCACTGCTTGATATCTCAGGAAGTTAATCATAAACACCAAAGCAAAGCAGGAAACCTCTCTGAAGTAGATACAAAGGATTCCCATCAGAGGGCTTCTCAAAAGTAATGATGAAGGTTTGTAGGGTCTATCATGTGTGCTTGGGATTTGACAGTGTTCATGTAAGAATCATTATTTTAGTACTCTAAGGAAATCTTGTGCTTCTGTCAATTGAATCAAAATCTAAGACATTATCCCACTTCTTCTTATGCATGAATGAACTCCAATATATTTCAATTGTATTAAAATTCAGTAAATTTGATTTCTACATAAAATTCTTCCTGGCATTGGCCAGCACACACCCTGATGCTCATTGGCATGCTTTCTGTAAATTCAGCAGGGTTTTCTCTGCCTTCCATATGTTCCAGTAGGCTACAATACACAAGATACTTTTATTGAAAACTTGTTTAAGTGCAAGTAATAGAAATAAATTTAGACATAAGGTCTGAAAGAATTAAGCACATTTTACAGATGCAGTAGACTTTGGTTTTATTGATAGAATTTGCCTAATGATAGTGTACCATTTTTAATTGTCATTATCATTAGGCAAATTCTATGAATGTAACTAGATATATATTGTAGTGATATAACTATGTATATAACTAGATATTATTTCTACTGAAGAAATAGTAAAAACTCACTGAATTTGTTTTCTAGTAATTGACATTCAAGCATTTATGAAAGTTTTCAATTTAAATTAAAACATTTGGACCAAAAGTGCACACAACCTTACCAAAAGGGAAAATGAATTAATGAACCATTTCCTTTGTGGTAATACTAGACCCATAATTACAAGGAGCTATGTGATACATTGTCCCAAACTCGATTCTCAACAATCACAATTTTCTGAGGAAAACATCCATGAACTGTTTTATGTTAGAGAAATTATTTTCCCTCTAAAATGGAGACATGCAAATAATTCTCAATGAATATACTGACATTCAGTTTCTTGTAAGGTACTTTTGTGCCTGGACAATAGTATTGCACATACTCACAAAATATAGTCATTGATAGTTCCTCTACTGATGATACATAGGCTCCTATTTTCCTGCAATGAACACTTTTGGAAAATGGAGAAATTTACAAGCAAGTATTTGTTTCCTTATTTACATTTATTACTGTATGAAAGGACAGAAATAGTCTCCTCTATTTTCAGAAATTTTGACTATAATATGCCTTGTGACAGTTTGCTCCTTCCTACATTGATTCCTTGAGACTTTTACAGTCTCTACTAAATCCAATATGAATAGAAAATATTGAGATTCACACATAGACTCTCTTCACCAGGAGTTCAAGTCAATATTCGTGTTGAATCAATCACAAGAATTGTATTTACATTCAAATATTTCTGCAAAGATTGCACATACATACAACAGACAAGGGTCTCATATCTAAAATATACTTGGAACTCAAAAAATTAAACCCCCCAACAACAAATCTTCAAAAAACAACTGCCCAATAAATAAGTGGGCGAAAGACTTAAAGAGAAACTTCTCTGAAGAAGAAAGAAGGATGGCCAATAGACACATGAAGAAATGTTCAACATCCCTAGCCATAAAAGAAATGCAAATCAAAACAACATTGAGATATCACCTCACTCCAGTTAGAATGGCAAAAATCAAGAACTCTAACAACAACAGATGCTGGAGGGGATGTGGACAGAACGGAACCTTACTTCATTGTTGGTGGGAATGTAAACTTGTTCAACCACTTTGGAAAGCAGTATGGAGGTTCCTCAAAAGACTCCACATAGAGCTCCCCAATGACCCAGCAATCCCACTTTTGGGCATTTACCCAAATGATCACAAACAAGGCCACACTAAAGCTACCAGCACAACTATGTTTATTGCAGCATTATTTACCATAGCTAAGATATGGAACCAACCCAGATGCCCCTCAGTAGATGAATGGATCAAGAAGATGTG